GTTGCATGTCGCTAAAGCCCTGTTTTTCAATTGCAGGTTAATTGTAATTTTACTATTACCCAGATGTTAACTCTCAAAATGCGTATTTCACTGTCAACTTTATCCTAAAACGGTGGTTAACTTGAGATGTTTAAGGATGGCACGAGACACAAATGCGCCATAAAACGTATATGACAATATAGTTTAGACGTAGAATCAGCGTTGCTAGATTAAAAATTACGTTTTAGTTAACCAAAACTTGAAAAACGAATTTATCATGTATCAAACGTGTTCCAAATTTTTCCTATGCCTCTCAAGTTCCAGGATCCCCTAAGAACCAAATACCTCACCTCTAGAATCAAGCTCCAAAGCTGGATCTGCGGTGGCCTCTGCTAAATTTGTGACACTTTTTGATTTGACGCATTGGAAGTCCACATGCCTGCTCTTCGCCTCTTCCTTTTCCCACGACATGTGAATGAAGGGTCGCTGTACGTAATTGTAGATTACTTCAGCCCTACCACCAGGACGCTTCTTAACTTTTTCTTTGTACGTCGGGTACCCTTTCGCAAAAATATTTTATAGATAGAATGTTTTCATAAAACAACACATTTTGTCACGTAATATAAACTCACAAGCAATCAGGCAACCAGGACCTGCTTTCGCAAAAGAAGGGTATGTACATATGTACAAATATAGTATTGGGACCTCTTGCACCGATTCTTCTGTCCACTTATCAATTTACATTTTTATACGTGGGTTTGCGTGACTTCAGAACTCCATGTTCTTCTAGCCAAATGAAACCACGTACAAGGGTGAATCAAATATGAACCGGACTTTTCTGTTTAACGCGAATGGAGTGAGGCGACGTCTCGGTTTGGCGCGAAGTAAATGAGCTGTTAGTAGCATCATGTCTGAGCAAGAGGTACTGTTGCGCAAAGCATTATCATAAAATTTTGGTCGCGGGAGCGCGTAAAACCTTCCGAAATTTTGCGTCGATTAACAGCACAGTTCGGCGATAAGACAGTTTCGAAGATACAAGTATACGACTGGCAAAATGTTTCCTTGGAGTGGCGAAAGCCGAGAGGGGCAGCGCCGCGAAAAGCCAAGACCAGTCTTTCTGCAGGAAAAGTTCTTGCAATGGTATTTTGGGATTCCACAGGTGTACTACTATGTGATTTTCATCACACTTACTACTGTCAACTGTTTAAAGAAGTAAAACTGGCCTAACAGCGCAAAAGGCGAGGCATGCCTATTCGAAGTGCCATTCTGCTCCATGACAACTCTGAGCCACACCGCTGTATTGACAAAAAATATGCGAAATTCATTGGGAAACACTTGAACACCCGCCTTATAGTCCCTATGACGGGGACAAAGGTGTGGAAACAATTGGCTACTGACACGATCAGCTTCATCCTTTGATTGGGGCATTGAAAAACTTCCGATACGATGTGAAAAATGCATCATAAGAGAGGAGATTATCTAGAAAAATAAGATAAGATAACTTGTATTTACCATACCAATAAAATTACTGAAACAAAAGACCAGTTCATATTTGATCACCCTTGTATGTTAGAATTACTTTTCACTGACGTTTCGCTCACCAAGGTAGACTTTTGTAAGTACAGATAGTAGGAAGATTCATTTTGCGCAAATGGCTAAATGAACAAGTGAAAGTAATATATAATAATAATAAATTCATACCATATGGTGCCTCATCATATTTGTCGTTCTATCATAAAGTTTCTCAGTTTTGATTTAAATTTTGTTAGGCGATTTTGACGTTTTATGTCTGAATCTAATTTGTTGGAATCCATTGGACCTCGATGTAAAACTTCGTACATATCCTGCGCTTTTTGCATTTAAATGGAAATCATGCTTGGAGTCAGGTATCATAAAAATGATAGTAGGCATTTACAGATGTTAGTGCAGATAGATGGCAATAAATTATTTTTCATTTTATAAATAAAAATCTAGTCATGATTTCAATGAAATGTTCAATGTTAAGCCATTCTAAGGTACTGGGCATATCATTTTTTGGCGTATATTTATTTTTATTAGTATTATTATCATACAACTATTTTTGTATATTTTGCACTATACTAAAAAATTGGCAACACAATTGTATTATAATTTATATATTTCTTACTGTATAGAGTTAAACTCTAATACTGTCAACTACTATGCCAAGGTATTTGAAAAAATCTATAACATCAATGTTTTACCGCTAATATTTACGTATACATTTATACAATGTTTTTCCCAATAATCCTAGCGGTTGTTTTGTCAGTGTTCAATTTTAATTTGTTAGATATTAGCCGTTCTGTCACAAATTTATAGTCACTATTAATAAGAAAAATAACGGATTAAAATTTTTGAGTATTTACATAAATTAAAGTATCAACAAAAATTTGGATTTTCCAATTTTTTTGTATACTGGACAAATGAGTTATATACAAGATGAAAAGAAGTGGTCCCAGGATACTATCCTATAGGACTAAATATTAATAAATAAATAAAATAAAAATATTTTTTATATTGCTATTATCATAATATTTTTCTATTGTCATTTTTATCGATCCTTATTTGAAAAGGCCACGATGTGACTGAAACGTCAATAATGTGTAATTTCGACATATGTGGTTTCATATGGCAAGAGAAACATGGAGTTCTATCAGCATGAAAACTATAGGATATGTTTCAGATGTTACAATAATAATGTGTTTCTGCCTTTACTGTAGATGGACAGCGACATTTTTGAGTAAAAAATGCAATTCAGATGTCAGGAAGGCATGCTATTAAACATTACTTTCGTCATATATACCTAATACGCACTGCACTGATTAACGTATTCTTTAAAATGTAGTGCAAGCTATGGTTAATATTATCTATTCCAAATTTTACATTTAACAGTTACGGCTACTGTCACCTCAACTGGATTTTTTTACGTAATAAAGATGCTGAATTAAGCAAAGCAAATATAAGAAAGATGCCACAAACTCCATTTCACGAGTATCCATCACGTTTGACCTCTACTGAGGTGAACAGCTGCAAGCAAGTGACATCTTTGTATTGGTAACATTGCCATGTTGCCAATAATGAATCGGGTGTAAATATGGTAAAACTTGCTTATGGCGATTTTTCTGTATGCAAGTAAACTTTTCTAAATGAAAGTGTCTTCAGCAAGTACAAAATGAATCTGTAGCATACAAAAACTAAACAAAATACGGCTATGTCTACCTGGCGTTGACGGATCAGTGAGAATTACGTGTCATTAGCCGATATGGGGAATTTTGAAATATTAGTAGATAATCAGCTGTTATTTTACCGTAATGGATACTCGTGAAACAGACAATATAGCTCAAGTGATCTGGTTTTCACTAACCTTCAATTCCAAGCCGTATCTTCTTTAAGCCCCGATCCTTCAGCACCTGCTTGGCGACGTCTCTGTTCTCGATGTACTTAAAGAACCTGTACATGGCGGTACTGTTAACTGTCTGACTATATTCCTCGCCCATTTGTGGCGGGTACTCCTCGTCCCAGTCAACCGTATCGTCGTCTAACAGTACTACCACATGACATTCTCTGTCGCCACGCTGAGCAGAGCTCACCATCAGTGGAAGCACGAGGTCTTCCAGAAATACCTCAAATTGACATCGGGCGCCTTCGTTTGACAGCTCGTGGAGGAGACCCCCTATATATTTAAGAATTCGTTGCAAGTGTGGTGAAAGGAATCGACAGTACATATGTTGTTGGACACAAATTTTAATTTGGTCCAGATGTTTCTAATTTCAAGAACTAGAACTTATGTAGATTCTCAAAACATACGTCATCCTATAGCTACTATAATACACGATTTAGTTTAGTATAAAAAACAGAAATATCTGCATGAAATTCATCTTTTTTCGGCCTGACCCAGATTGTACCGAATTTTAATTACAATGAGGAAACTTTAAAAAACCGTTGAAATTTACTTTGTGCAGCCTTAAGAAACGATTGAGGTTTTCCTAATATCTTTTACCTAATAAATTACATATATTGTGTTGACTAAAAAAATGCTACCGCATAACTTCAAAAATGCTACTTTAGGTCCAAATTTTTTGTTCTGTGATTCACACTGCCGTAGCAAGTGTATATTCGTACAGCCCGCAAAAAGTAAACACAGACACAACAATCTATGTACTTTTTAGGTTTAAATGTTTAGTTGTACCATATATATCTATTTATTCTAGAATTTCCTCTCCTTTGAATCGACGCCGCTAGTGCATTTGCGGTCACGTGCGCTATGGAGTTCGAAGTCTTATATGATTTTCAAATTATACAACAAAAATATACCTTATTTCAATGAAGAGATTTTCACCTTCTACATAATAGTGGGTATGTATTTTACATTTTACGTTTGAAATGATTACTACTACTACCTCAAAAATTAAAATCAATGAATTTGGAACACCATAGAGTATTTTTAATTTTTTTTAATTTTACGTGCAGTAATACAAATTCGATAAAACACGGGACCACCAATTTCTTTACCATCAAATCGATTATTTTGTTATAGTTATTTTTGGATGTACTTTCTACGCTATAAATATACCATTTTCCGAATCCCACGGTATAGTATGATCTTAGAATGATGCGGTATCCTTTAAAATGAAGGAAAACCCAAGTGTTGGCAGGAACGAAAAAACACTTCAAACGAGATTTTTAGGAATTTATAAGACCTGCAGAATGAGACACGTAAAAAGATCCGAATAATAGTAAAAAAGTTATGGCCGAAAACCGAGGCAAAATGCAGGTTTTGGTACTTGTTGCTAATGCTTCGATACTTTCACGCAGCTACTTGAAATTCTGCAGATCCGTACGCTTCATACTTCTAAATTACCGCAACAAGATTGGAGCCGATTGGTCAAGTAGTATTTGAGAATTTCAAATTGTTTATCCCAAAACACCTATCTTATGGCCATCACTACTAGTTTACTGAGCAATCTACAGGGTTCGTTCAAAGGGCATTTTATAGCAAAATACACGAGTTTTTTCAAACAAATTCAAACATTTCGTATTTGTGAGTAATTGAACAGATTCGCTATGATATTCGAAAAAAATATGGAATATACTTTTGGGCAACCTAGCAACCAATGAAGGATTTATGCACATACATCTTGGACGTAGCAGAGCTCGAAGCAAAACTAATGTGTTATATACTAATCAAAGAACCAATGTAACACACAACTTTTATACAACACAAATTATTCCGTCTACCACTGATTAACGTATTCTACCTGAAAATAGCAAAACCAATAATATTTATCGCGCCCGAAAAACTATCCTCGATGAAATGAAATATCGTACCGTAATCTACGAGGATTTATCACAGCTATAGTTGTAGTCACCGTTCTTGGCGGGTCAAAGTAAGACTACCAGTATCCCTTTATATATCTCCATCTCCCTCATACATACACATGCAACCTACCCCTGTCTGTGAACATTTTTTCAGTGAGCTCGAAGACGTACGTTTTTTAGTTGAGTGTCTCCGGCTGGAAAACTTTGCAGTAACGTATGAGTGCCCTTCAATCATATTTATCATAGTGACAACTTACTTGACATCGGCGTGCAATTTGAGTAATCCTGTCGTTATCAATCTTCAATATAAAATTGTACAATGCTCGGAAATATGATCAATGGAGAAGGCCGACAGCTCGCGCTAAATTTATTAGAGTATTTTCAGGAAGAGAATCAAAACAGCGGTCCCCTGTTACCCACTTCATGCGTACTGGAGAGAATAGCAGATGCGCTGAAGATTAGCCTGCGCAGTGTTCAGCGAATAAAATCACAATGTATGAAATTTTTTACTTCAACTTCAGAAAACATCAAATGGCGTGTCATACTCTACCGATGTTTATATGCTAGATTGGAAGACTGTTGAGAATTACGATTAGTAAATGATTTTGAATCGGTTACGCTCAGTTAGGACAATTAAGATCCGCCCATGGTACGGAGACTCGATCGGTTTACTTATCTCATATGGCGATGTCGTCGGAATCGCCAAGAATGGTGACGAAATAATAATAATAATAATAATAAATGGGCTTTATTTCGTACTTAAGTAAAAGTACAAAAAAGGCGAAGTGTCGCTAAGATTAGCGTTTTTCAACTTAACCTTAAATCTATATCCTTCTCCTCTCCGCAATGAATATGAAATCACATTTAAAACGCTAGTGTCCCATAGATGCCGATGTAGTCAATTATATAATATATGTACTATATGTATATGATCATATCGCTACAACACCGTGTACGGGACACGAGCCTTTTCAAAGTAGACTTCTAAAACTGCGAAGAGGAGAAACATAGCTGTGACAAATTCTCATATATGACGCTACGGTATCTCACTTTATCTTGAATAATTTTTCAGACGCACGAATATAGTATATTACTATTAGTTATATTCAGGTAGAATATGGCCGTGCGTCGAGCTGTATCTCTAATGCGAAAATTCGCGACTTGGCAACACTGCAGTCGTAGTCTCTTCCAGCCTTGACAAGTCATTTCCTCAACTCAATTGTCAAACTTCTAACCCCAACTTGTGTTTTCAAAGGGCATCAAGGAATAAATTGAAAATTTAATTTTTATATGAATGATAATTGAATCTGTTTCCAGATAGCATTCTGGTTTCGGGTGCCTTCTTCCATAGGTCACTGATATATATTCTGAAGATAGCATAATGGATCAGGTATGCTGTTTTGCCTTTTAAACCCAGTTAAACATTTACTTTTTTCCTAGGCAAGAGCGAAGATTAACGACGCATGCAGGGTAGCTGAAGAATTCACAAAATTATACTACGAGACCGTGGATAGAAAAAGACATGTAAGGTATCATTTCATGTCAATGATCCAAATTTATATTTATAAATTTTAGCTGATATCCAGGCTATACCTTGACACTGGTCTGTTATCATGGAATGGCAATGGAGTTACAGGAAACCAAAACATACTCAAGTTCATGATAGATTTACCCACAACAGATCATTCCATAACTACTCTTGATGCACAGCCTATACTTGATTCTGCAGTAAATGGACAGTTAAGTTTTATAATACAAGTGAGTGGTTCTGTGAGGTATCAGGACAAGCCTTTAAAGACATTCCAACAGAACTTTGTGGTAACTGCTCAGGGTGACAAGTGGAAGATTGTGAGCGATTGCTTCAGATTACAGGAACCTTTAAATAAATAATATCTATGCCTTTATTTTGTAAATTTTAATTTTGAAAATGTCAATAAATGTGTATGTTCTTATGAATGGTTTACCTTAAAATATTATACATTCAATATTGCACAAATGAAGCATAATAAGGAGTGACAAATTAGTTAAGGCTTTCGCAGCCAGTTGATAAACTACTGTCTTGATTCGGGTCTAAAGGCTGTTGTTAGTTGAAATTTCTTAACATTTCACTAGCTCGAGTGGCAGGTTTCTTCAGAGGTCCTTCCATTTCTAATGCTCGATGTAGATAGTCTACATCAAATCAAAACAGCAGTTTATAATAAGGAGTGTTGTTGATGATACTGCTCACTTAGCAGCAAAATTAACCTCTCTTCCCAAGTTTCCTATAGTGCAAAACTGGATGGAATTATTTCCTACTGAGAAAGAAGGCACATTTACATTCAAATTCCATGTATTTGTAATAAATGAGTACAAAACCTTAAGCTACAGGAGTTATATAAAAAAGTAAGCAAAGATTGACATTTAAGATTAATTACAGTTTTCAAAATAGAAATCAAAAGACAAGATTACTGCTGAAATAAATATGTAATTCATATTCAGCATCTAGATATCAAAATTATCAGTTAACTTTGATCATTTTTATTAAATATGCAGAGGGTTTCGTAAACCATTGTCACAGAACTCAACATAATATGATAGAAATAAAATGAAATGTTTTTTTATCTATTCAATTTATCAACACAAATGATAAACTATGAATAAGTTTATGATTATTTTTACATATAAAAATATGTTAAAATTTGATACCAGGCAGTGTTTTCTTCAGTACTGATATGAAATATGTGTGTAAATTTGAAGATATTTGATTTAAATACCTTTTGTTTTAATAATGAAGCATATGATAAAAATGTCTATATTCCAGCAGTACACATTAAACAAAATATCTGACAACTAACACTTGAATATAAACCCTCTCTATATTTTCAAAAATGAGTAGTAATGATATAAAAGATATTAACAAACAATATACAGGATAAGTGTTAGTGTTTAAATCCACTCATTGTATAAATATCTAGCTATGTATAAAATAATTTTAAAAAAATGAGCAAAATAAAAACACATTTAATCTCAGTCTCAAGGATTTGCATTTGCAGGGGAATGTGATGAATATATGTGGTGATTAACATACTTTCAAATTAAAAAAAATATATGGTGGATAGCTGACATAGTTACAGCCTCATAATAGTTTTATTATGGGACTTTAAAAGTGAAGAATATACTGTTAGAATTGTGCATACATCATATTGCTGAAGCAATAATAATGTGGCTAGTCCGCAAACATTTTGGAAATGAATCTGTTAACAAAAGATTGAAGTTACCTTTAGTTTCTGAATCCAGACACACTATTGTGGAGGCAAGGGTTGATATCAAAAGAAATACAAAACTCCAAGATTTTTTTCTGGAGGCGTAAATTACTCTGATCCCCAGATTTCAAGGCAAATGGAAGTTTTGCGAGGTGGTAAGCGAATCAGCGATCTACCTTATATTAATTTATGAGCACAACACAGCGAAAAATTGCGCTAAGTACCATAGTAATATCCATTTGGCATTATCAGCAAACTACTTGAGATTACAATGATCAGTGGTTTTATAGATTTATGGAAAGTAACGTGAGTTAAGTTTTTTTTTAAACGAAAGGTTTTCAACCATGCCATCTTTCTCAATTACAATGCACTTCTATGCTGGGATCGCACGAAAATTGTCAGCAATTTATTTCACATATCAGCTTACTAGTTAGAATTATAGCTATTGATGTCAATCTATTCAAGTATGGCCATCAAAAATCAGTACGCATGTATCATCTCTGTCGTTTCAAATATAAATGGTATGGTCGTGCAGACATGGAAACTCGTTTTTTACTCATATTCTAAAAAGGACATATAAGGTTATAGTCGATATTAGCAAGACTTACAGGTTTCTTCTGAAAACGCAAGACTGTCAATACCTGGCTTAGTATCAGTCGTCATGGAATTTTTGATTTCTACAAAAGTTTTAGAATTTGAACATCTACTGTGTGCAGATGTTAAAAGCGCAGTAGCTCGCATCTTAGAAGCCGAGTATGGTCCTGACTTTTCCCAACTTGGTGTTTCTTGGTACGTTTGTATGTGGTGAAGTTACAAGTATATTAGACTTTACTTTCAAAATGGATTTACTTTGAGGAACTATATAACAAATATGTTAACATCATCTGTTGATATGATGGACTCAAGACAAAAAGATTTCCAACTAAATCGTTTATCAAGAATGCTGCCTTTACAACACCATAATATACTTTAGAATAATTTCAGTTTACAAAATTTCATATGTTTACAAAATTAGTACACTTATATCAAAAACGTATCTTAACGCAATTAGTACTACAAAACTACACGTTGAAGGGGACATTTTATTTCATTTTTTGCAGATTGCAGATGCTCACCTTGTTTGTGCAATCGTGAAACGTTTTGATATATTTTTTATAAAAACAGAAAATAGATTTTTAGTAAAAAAATAGCACGCACCTATAGACAGTCTTGGGTGTAACAGTAAGTATAGTTATGCCATGTGGTTAAAATTTAAACAGGTTTTTTCCGGTGCAAAAACGGAAATATATATATATTAGAAAACTACTTTAACTTATCTTGAAACTAATGTAGGTTCTTCATTTTTCTTTTTTACCCAAGGCATAAGTACACTTCCGTGAAGCGACGAAACCCCCAGACTTGCAATTATCTACAAAACACCCAATTCATCAAATAGATTACATGAAATGTGACTAAAGCAAACAAGGTACTCTAGAAATTTTATAGGAAAAAAACACGTTCCGACACAACTTTCATAAAAACCATGTTAAATGACGTTTGAAAAGTGGTTAAAAATTGTCATATACATATATGCCAATGTTTTCGAAGAGGTCCAAAAAGTATCCCTTCGTCATAACTTTTACCGACATCTAAACAAAAAATACCTGTGTGTAATGTTGGATTCTTTGACATCACTATGTTTTACCACTCGCCCGACCTGTGTTTCCCTGAAGATGATAACACAGCGAAAAACCTGTAAATAAACCGGTATGACGAGTGGTAAAACAATGTTGTAGTGACATAAAATACTTGTACAATAGTGAAGCAAAACGTCTCTGTCATAACATAACCAACTATATTTTTGTTGAAAACAAAAGTTATGATTAAAGTGGAGGAATTTGCGACAAACTGTATCGACGTAATCTTACTTTATCCTTTTTACCGATTATAAACCTGACCAATTTCTGCATTTTATTTGTGATGATACGGAAGCAACGTTTTTTACCATGTATAAAAAAATGTAATTCCAAATCAACATTTCATATAAAAATCAACAATCCGACTATCTCTGGAGTACCTTGTACAAAATAATAACGCGAAACTCAACCGATTTGGCGTTTATTTTTCGCACTGGATTACAGGTTTAGGTCGTCAGGCGGCAAATTATTGGCCCCTTCGATTTCTGAAGGGTCTTGCTGATCTATCGCTCCTCCTGCAGCCCCATCTTCGTTCTCCAGTCCTAGAGGAGCATCCGATGGTAAAGGTGGAGGCAGTGCCATTGCTGACACTAACGGATTACCTAATAATTGCAGAGATTCTGATTTGGATTTTTACAAGATGCTTGATGCAAATGGAGGCACGTATTTGAATAAACTCATGTCCTCACTAACTTGAACGTGAAGTTGAACTAATGACTTGTTAGGACAGGTCGGCCATCCGTTACAACTAGATGCTAGTTTAAAAGAGCATTTGACAGTAAATAGTCACAAGAACTTTCGGGGCACTGAACTGCCTCGGGCAAAGCTGACATCCAGGGCTTGCGTTAGAAAGAACACAGTCAGACTTCTCCGTGATTCATCCGCAGATCTTAGTTTTGTTCGTACAGCGGTCGGCGACTTGTGTGAATTTCGTCTACATAGCGTAGCACAGTGAACGGAATTTGTGTGGCGGGATCTTGGACACGGTCACTGACAGGTTGGCGACTGCTGTAGTTCGTCTTCAGAAGACGAAGCATTGTTTTTGAGGAGTTTGCATCCGATCAACTGTGAGAGAGATGATAAAGGAGAGTTCATAGTTCTTTTTCCTGCAATGCTTGAAGATGAAGAACGGTTTTTTATTTACTTCCGAATGTCATTAAGTAGTTTTAATGAGTTGCATGATTATATAAAAAAGGAAACAGAGAAACAAGACACCAACTAGAGAAATGCTATATCTACAAAAGAAAGAGTGGCAGTATTTTTTCCTATGAAAGCCATCTTGCAAACGAGGCGTTCCACGAGTTCTTTGTATTTCTGACAGTAGAACGAGAGCCTTCACACTGACCGGCGCGGTCTGACTGCCGCTGTGTCTGCGCGACGCTATAGAGATCTGATAATTCTGTCAGTGTCACTGGGCTTCTACTCAACCTTATATATCAATAAATAGCACATTTCATGATGAACACTGACGGATTTCAGTAAATGTTGAGTTACGCTAAAAGCGCGGAAAACAAGGATCCTTTCTTCGATGTTCATTTGAGAGCTAAATCCATGGTGCTAGAACGGTCCCTATGGGTACGTCTTTTTTGGTAATGAACATCTAGCTCTTTTCTATCGCTACACCAACGGGCTTTGCTCCTCAGAGCTCTCCTCCATGATGCCGCCGCGCGATGTGCCTGCCAGACAGATCCGCCTGACTTCGGCGTCCCATCCTAACCGTGTCAAACTTCGTACATCCAGAACTGGCCGATACGACCGCTCCTTTGTCCCGAGGGTGTCTAGATTGTGGAACAATCTACGGGAGGAAGCTTTTCCCAGTTCTACTAACCTTAGGCAGTTCAAAAATCGTATTAACAAAATTTCTTTGGGATCATCATAGCAGCCGCGGTGTTCCGGCATTTAGGGTTTTGCCTGCGCGGCTGTTTCGATATAAAAAAAAATAAAAAAATGACGCTGAAGCTCGACATCATGGCCAACGTGTTGAGCACCCCATTCACAATTGTTCCATAATGCCTTTGTTGCAAACATAACCAAAAGCTATTTACTAATTTCAGAGATCTGAATTATTCAGCGCAATATAGAGTCGGAACAAATATTCACTCACTCCATTCCGAACCGGTACAGATGGTCCTATGTGAACAAAGCACCTGTATATGGAATGTCGTGAAGTCAAGCAATTTGAAGCAACCGTGAATGACTTTTACTTTTACAGCGCGATGAACGCTCGGACAACGCGGACGCGATTGTCGTTCGTATAATTTGGATTACTTGGAATGCCGTTTACCTGATAGACCGACGGCGACACTAACATGGCGTTAAAAGCACGATATTTTTCGCGTTCGTGTTGCATGTCGCTAAAGCCCTGTTTTTCAATTGCAGGTTAATTGTAATTTTACTATTACCCAGATGTTAACTCTCAAAATGCGTATTTCACTGTCAACTTTATCCTAAAACGGTGGTTAACTTGAGATGTTTAAGGATGGCACGAGACACAAATGCGCCATAAAACGTATATGACAATATAGTTTAGACGTAGAATCAGCGTTGCTAGATTAAAAATTACGTTTTAGTTAACCAAAACTTGAAAAACGAATTTATCATGTATCAAACGTGTTCCAAATTTTTCCTATGCCTCTCAAGTTCCAGGATCCCCTAAGAACCAAATACCTCACCTCTAGAATCAAGCTCCAAAGCTGGATCTGCGGTGGCCTCTGCTAAATTTGTGACACTTTTTGATTTGACGCATTGGAAGTCCACATGCCTGCTCTTCGCCTCTTCCTTTTCCCACGACATGTGAATGAAGGGTCGCTGTACGTAATTGTAGATTACTTCAGCCCTACCACCAGGACGCTTCTTAACTTTTTCTTTGTACGTCGGGTACCCTTTCGCAAAAATATTTTATAGATAGAATGTTTTCATAAAACAACACATTTTGTCACGTAATATAAACTCACAAGCAATCAGGCAACCAGGACCTGCTTTCGCAAAAGAAGGGTATGTACATATGTACAAATATAGTATTGGGACCTCTTGCACCGATTCTTCTGTCCACTTATCAATTTACATTTTTATACGTGGGTTTGCGTGACTTCAGAACTCCATGTTCTTCTAGCCAAATGAAACCACGTACAAGGGTGAATCAAATATGAACCGGACTTTTCTGTTTAACGCGAATGGAGTGAGGCGACGTCTCGGTTTGGCGCGAAGTAAATGAGCTGTTAGTAGCATCATGTCTGAGCAAGAGGTACTGTTGCGCAAAGCATTATCATAAAATTTTGGTCGCGGGAGCGCGTAAAACCTTCCGAAATTTTGCGTCGATTAACAGCACAGTTCGGCGATAAGACAGTTTCGAAGATACAAGTATACGACTGGCAAAAATGTTTCCTTGGAGTGGCGAAAGCCGAGAGGGGCAGCGCCGCGAAAAGCCAAGACCAGTCTTTCTGCAGGAAAAGTTCTTGCAATGGTATTTTGGGATTCCACAGGTGTACTACTATGTGATTTTCATCACACTTACTACTGTCAACTGTTTAAAGAAGTAAAACTGGCCTAACAGCGCAAAAGGCGAGGCATGCCTATTCGAAGTGCCATTCTGCTCCATGACAACTCTGAGCCACACCGCTGTATTGACAAAAAAATATGCGAAATTCATTGGGAAACACTTGAACACCCGCCTTATAGTCCCTATGACGGGGACAAAGGTGTGGAAACAATTGGCTACTGACACGATCAGCTTCATCCTTTGATTGGGGCATTGAAAAACTTCCGATACGATGTGAAAAATGCATCAATAAGAGAGGAGATTATCTAGAAAAATAAGATAAGATAACTTGTATTTACCATACCAATAAAATTACTGAAACAAAAGACCAGTTCATATTTGATTCACCCTTGTATGTTAGAATTACTTTTCACTGACGTTTCGCTCACCAAGGTAGACTTTTGTAAGTACAGATAGTAGGAAGATTCATTTTGCGCAAATGGCTAAATGAACAAGTGAAAGTAATATATAATAATAATAAATTCATACCATATGGTGCCTCATCATATTTGTCGTTCTATCATAAAGTTTCTCAGTTTTGATTTAAATTTTGTTAGGCGATTTTGACGTTTTATGTCTGAATCTAATTTGTTGGAATCCATTGGACCTCGATGTAAAACTTCGTACATATCCTGCGCTTTTTGCATTTAAATGGAAATCATGCTTGGAGTCAGGTATCATAAAAATGATAGTAGGCATTTACAGATGTTAGTGCAGATAGATGGCAATAAATTATTTTTCATTTTATAAATAAAAATCTAGTCATGATTTTCAATGAAATGTTCAATGTTAAGCCATTCTAAGGTACTGGGCATATCATTTTTTGGCGTATATTTATTTTTATTTAGTATTATTATCATACAACTATTTTTGTATATTTTGCACTATACTAAAAAATTGGCAACACAATTGTATTATAATTTATATATTTCTTACTGTATAGAGTTAAACTCTAATACTGTCAACTACTATGCCAAGGTATTTGAAAAAATCTATAACATCAATGTTTTACCGCTAATATTTACGTATACATTTATACAATGTTTTTCCCAATAATCCTAGCGGTTGTTTTGTCAGTGTTCAATTTTAATTTGTTAGATATTAGCCGTTCTGTCACAAATTTATAGTCACTATTAATAAGAAAAATAACGGATTAAAATTTTTGAGTATTTACATAAATTAAAGTATCAACAAAAATTTGGATTTTCCAATTTTTTTGTATACTGGACAAATGAGTTATATACAAGATGAAAAGAAGTGGTCCCAGGATACTATCCTATAGGACTAAATATTAATAAATAAATAAAATAAAAATATTTTTTATATTGCTATTATCATAATATTTTTCTATTGTCATTTTTATCGATCCTTATTTTGAAAAGGCCACGATGTGACTGAAACGTCAATAATGTGTAATTTCGACATATGTGGTTTCATATGGCAAGAGAAACATGGAGTTCTATCAGCATGAAAACTATAGGATATGTTTCAGATGTTACAATAATAATGTGTTTCTGCCTTTACTGTAGATGGACAGCGACATTTTTGAGTAAAAAATGCAATTCAGATGTCAGGAAGGCATGCTATTAAACATTACTTTCGTCATATATACCTAATACGCACTGCACTGATTAACGTATTCTTTAAAATGTAGTGCAAGCTATGGTTAATATTATCTATTCCAAATTTTACATTTAACAGTTACGGCTACTGTCACCTCAACTGGATTTTTTTACGTAATAAAGATGCTGAATTAAGCAAAGCAAATATAAGAAAGATGCCACAAACTCCATTTCACGAGTATCCATCACGTTTTGACCTCTACTGAGGTGAACAGCTGCAAGCAAGTGACATCTTTGTATTGGTAACATTGCCATGTTGCCAATAATGAATCGGGTGTAAATATGGTAAAACTTGCTTATGGCGATTTTTCTGTATGCAAGTAAACTTTTCTAAATGAAAGTGTCTTCAGCAAGTACAAAATGAATCTGTAGCATACAAAAACTAAACAAAATACGGCTATGTCTACCTGGCGTTGACGGATCAGTGAGAATTACGTGTCATTAGCCGATATGGGGAATTTTGAAATATTAGTAGATAATCAGCTGTTATTTTACCGTAATGGATACTCGTGAAACAGACAATATAGCTCAAGTGATCTGGTTTTCACTAACCTTCAATTCCAAGCCGTATCTTCTTTAAGCCCCGATCCTTCAGCACCTGCTTGGCGACGTCTCTGTTCTCGATGTACTTAAAGAACCTGTACATGGCGGTACTGTTAACTGTCTGACTATATTCCTCGCCCATTTGTGGCGGGTACTCCTCGTCCCAGTCAACCGTATCGTCGTCTAACAGTACTACCACATGACATTCTCTGTCGCCACGCTGAGCAGAGCTCACCATCAGTGGAAGCACGAGGTCTTCCAGAAATACCTCAAATTGACATCGGGCGCCTTCGTTTGACAGCTCGTGGAGGAGACCCCCTATATATTTAAGAATTCGTTGCAAGTGTGGTGAAAGGAATCGACAGTACATATGTTGTTGGACACAAATTTTAATTTGGTCCAGATGTTTCTAATTTCAAGAACTAGAACTTATGTAGATTCTCAAAACATACGTCATCCTATAGCTACTATAATACACGATTTAGTTTAGTATAAAAAACAGAAATATCTGCATGAAATTCATCTTTTTTCGGCCTGACCCAGATTGTACCGAATTTTAATTACAATGAGGAAACTTTAAAAAACCGTTGAAATTTACTTTGTGCAGCCTTAAGAAACGATTGAGGTTTTCCTAATATCTTTTACCTAATAAATTACATATATTGTGTTGACTAAAAAAATGCTACCGCATAACTTCAAAAATGCTACTTTAGGTCCAAATTTTTTGTTCTGTGATTCACACTGCCGTAGCAAGTGTATATTCGTACAGCCCGCAAAAAGTAAACACAGACACAACAATCTATGTACTTTTTAGGTTTAAATGTTTAGTTGTACCATATATATCTATTTATTCTAGAATTTCCTCTCCTTTGAATCGACGCCGCTAGTGCATTTGCGGTCACGTGCGCTATGGAGTTCGAAGTCTTATATGATTTTCAAATTATACAACAAAAATATACCTTATTTCAATGAAGAGATTTTCACCTTCTACATAATAGTGGGTATGTATTTTACATTTTACGTTTGAAATGATTACTACTACTACCTCAAAAAATTAAAATCAATGAATTTGGAACACCATAGAGTATTTTTAATTTTTTTTTAATTTTACGTGCAGTAATACAAATTCGATAAAACACGGGACCACCAATTTCTTTACCATCAAATCGATTATTTTTGTTATAGTTATTTTTGGATGTACTTTCTACGCTATAAATATACCATTTTCCGAATCCCACGGTATAGTATGATCTTAGAATGATGCGGTATCCTTTAAAATGAAGGAAAACCCAAGTGTTGGCAGGAACGAAAAAACACTTCAAACGAGATTTTTAGGAATTTATAAGACCTGCAGAATGAGACACGTAAAAAGATCCGAATAATAGTAAAAAAGTTATGGCCGAAAACCGAGGCAAAATGCAGGTTTTGGTACTTGTTGCTAATGCTTCGATACTTTCACGCAGCTACTTGAAATTCTGCAGATCCGTACGCTTCATACTTCTAAATTACCGCAACAAGATTGGAGCCGATTGGTCAAGTAGTATTTGAGAATTTCAAATTGTTTATCCCAAAACACCTATCTTATGGCCATCACTACTAGTTTACTGAGCAATCTACAGGGTTCGTTCAAAGGGCATTTTATAGCAAAATACACGAGTTTTTTCAAACAAATTCAAACATTTCGTATTTGTGAGTAATTGAACAGATTCGCTATGATATTCGAAAAAAATATGGAATATACTTTTGGGCAACCTAGCAACCAATGAAGGATTTATGCACATACATCTTGGACGTAGCAGAGCTCGAAGCAAAACTAATGTGTTATATACTAATCAAAGAACCAATGTAACACACAACTTTTATACAACACAAATTATTCCGTCTACCACTGATTAACGTATTCTACCTGAAAATAGCAAAACCAATAATATTTATCGCGCCCGAAAAACTATCCTCGATGAAATGAAATATCGTACCGTAATCTACGAGGATTTATCACAGCTATAGTTGTAGTCACCGTTCTTGGCGGGTCAAAGTAAGACTACCAGTATCCCTTTATATATCTCCATCTCCCTCATACATACACATGCAACCTACCCCTGTCTGTGAACATTTTTTCAGTGAGCTCGAAGACGTACGTTTTTTAGTTGAGTGTCTCCGGCTGGAAAACTTTGCAGTAACGTATGAGTGCCCTTCAATCATATTTATCATAGTGACAACTTACTTGACATCGGCGTGCAATTTGAGTAATCCTGTCGTTATCAATCTTCAATATAAAATTGTACAATGCTCGGAAATATGATCAATGGAGAAGGCCGACAGCTCGCGCTAAATTTATTAGAGTATTTTCAGGAAGAGAATCAAAACAGCGGTCCCCTGTTACCCACTTCATGCGTACTGGAGAGAATAGCAGATGCGCTGAAGATTAGCCTGCGCAGTGTTCAGCGAATAAAATCACAATGTATGAAATTTTTTACTTCAACTTCAGAAAACATCAAATGGCGTGTCATACTCTACCGATGTTTATATGCTAGATTGGAAGACTGTTGAGAATTACGATTAGTAAATGATTTTGAATCGGTTACGCTCAGTTAGGACAATTAAGATCCGCCCATGGTACGGAGACTCGATCGGTTTACTTATCTCATATGGCGATGTCGTCGGAATCGCCAAGAATGGTGACGAAATAATAATAATAATAATAATAAATGGGCTTTATTTCGTACTTAAGTAAAAGTACAAAAAAGGCGAAGTGTCGCTAAGATTAGCGTTTTTCAACTTAACCTTAAATCTATATCCTTCTCCTCTCCGCAATGAATATGAAATCACATTTAAAACGCTAGTGTCCCATAGATGCCGATGTAGTCAATTATATAATATATGTACTATATGTATATGATCATATCGCTACAACACCGTGTACGGGACACGAGCCTTTTCAAAGTAGACTTCTAAAACTGCGAAGAGGAGAAACATAGCTGTGACAAATTCTCATATATGACGCTACGGTATCTCACTTTATCTTGAATAATTTTTCAGACGCACGAATATAGTATATTACTATTAGTTATATTCAGGTAGAATATGGCCGTGCGTCGAGCTGTATCTCTAATGCGAAAATTCGCGACTTGGCAACACTGCAGTCGTAGTCTCTTCCAGCCTTGACAAGTCATTTCCTCAACTCAATTGTCAAACTTCTAACCCCAACTTGTGTTTTCAAAGGGCATCAAGGAATAAATTGAAAATTTAATTTTTATATGAATGATAATTGAATCTGTTTCCAGATAGCATTCTGGTTTCGGGTGCCTTTCTTCCATAGGTCACTGATATATATTCTGAAGATAGCATAATGGATCAGGTATGCTGTTTTGCCTTTTAAACCCAGTTAAACATTTACTTTTTTCCTAGGCAAGAGCGAAGATTAACGACGCATGCAGGGTAGCTGAAGAATTCACAAAATTATACTACGAGACCGTGGATAGAAAAAGACATGTAAGGTATCATTTCATGTCAATGATCCAAATTTATATTTATAAATTTTAGCTGATATCCAGGCTATACCTTGACACTGGTCTGTTATCATGGAATGGCAATGGAGTTACAGGAAACCAAAACATACTCAAGTTCATGATAGATTTACCCACAACAGATCATTCCATAACTACTCTTGATGCACAGCCTATACTTGATTCTGCAGTAAATGGACAGTTAAGTTTTATAATACAAGTGAGTGGTTCTGTGAGGTATCAGGACAAGCCTTTAAAGACATTCCAACAGAACTTTGTGGTAACTGCTCAGGGTGACAAGTGGAAGATTGTGAGCGATTGCTTCAGATTACAGGAACCTTTAAATAAATAATATCTATGCCTTTATTTTGTAAATTTTAATTTTGAAAATGTCAATAAATGTGTATGTTCTTATGAATGGTTTACCTTAAAATATTATACATTCAATATTGCACAAATGAAGCATAATAAGGAGTGACAAATTAGTTAAGGCTTTCGCAGCCAGTTGATAAACTACTGTCTTGATTCGGGTCTAAAGGCTGTTGTTAGTTGAAATTTCTTAACATTTCACTAGCTCGAGTGGCAGGTTTCTTCAGAGGTCCTTCCATTTCTAATGCTCGATGTAGATAGTCTACATCAAATCAAAACAGCAGTTTATAATAAGGAGTGTTGTTGATGATACTGCTCACTTAGCAGCAAAATTAACCTCTCTTCCCAAGTTTCCTATAGTGCAAAACTGGATGGAATTATTTCCTACTGAGAAAGAAGGCACATTTACATTCAAATTCCATGTATTTGTAATAAATGAGTACAAAACCTTAAGCTACAGGAGTTATATAAAAAAAGTAAGCAAAGATTGACATTTAAGATTAATTACAGTTTTCAAAATAGAAATCAAAAGACAAGATTACTGCTGAAATAAATATGTAATTCATATTCAGCATCTAGATATCAAAATTATCAGTTAACTTTGATCATTTTTATTAAATATGCAGAGGGTTTCGTAAACCATTGTCACAGAACTCAACATAATATGATAGAAATAAAATGAAATGTTTTTTTATCTATTCAATGTGATCAACACAAGATGAATAAACTATTAATAAGTTTATGATTATTTTTACATATAAAAATATTGTTAAAATTTGATACCAGGCAGTGTTTTCTTCAGTACTGATATGAAATATGTGTGTAAATTTGAAGATATTTGATTTAAATACCTTTTGTTTTAATAATGAAGCATATGATAAAAATGTCTATATTCCAGCAGTACACATTAAACAAAATATCTGACAACTAACACTTGAATATAAACCCTCTCTATATTTTCAAAAATGAGTAGTAATGATATAAAAGATATTAACAAACAATATACAGGATAAGTGTTAGTGTTTAAATCCACTCATTGTATAAATATCTAGCTATGTATAAAATAATTTTAAAAAATGAGCAAAATAAAAACACATTTAAATCTCAGTCTCAAGGATTTGCATTTGCAGGGGAATGTGAATGAATATATGTGGTGATTAACATACTTTCAAATTAAAAAAAATATATGGTGGATAGCTGACATAGTTACAGCCTCATAATAGTTTTATTATTGGACTTTAAAAGTGAAGAATATACTGTTAGAATTGTGCATACATCATATTGCTGAAGCAATAATAATGTGGCTAGTCCGCAAACATTTTGGAAATGATCTGTTAACAAAAGATTGAAGTTACCTTTAGTTTCTGAATCCAGACACACTATTGTGGAGGCAAGGGTTGATATCAAAAGAAATACAAAACTCCAAGAATTTTTTTCTGGAGGCGTAAAATTACTCTGATCCCCAGATTTCAAGGCAAATGGAAGTTTTGCGAGGTGGTAAGCGAAATCAGCGATCTACCTTATATTAATTTATGAGCACAACACAGCCGAAAAATTGCGCTAAGTACCATAGTAATATCCATTTGGCATTATCAGCAAACTACTTGAGATTACAATGATCAGTGGTTTTATAGATTTATGGAAAGTAACGTGAGTTTAAGTTTTTTTTTTAAACGAAAGGTTTTCAACCATGCCATCTTTTCTCAATTACAATGCACTTCTATGCTGGGATCGCACGAAAATTGTCAGCAATTTATTTCACATATCAGCTTACTAGTTAGAATTATAGCTATTGATGTCAATCTATTCAAGTATGCCATCAAAAATCAGTACGCATGTATCATCTCTGTCGTTTCAAATATAAATGGTATGGTCGTGCAGACATGGAAACTCGTTTTTTACTCATATTCTAAAAAGGACAATATAAGGTTTATAGTCGATATTAGCAAGACTTACAGGTTTCTTCTGAAAACGCAAGACTTCAATACCCTGGCTTAGTATCAGTCGTCATGGAATTTTTGATTTCTACAAAAGTTTTAGAATTTGACATCTACTGTGTGCAGATGTTAAAAGCGCAGTAGCTCGCATCTTTAGAAGCCGAGTATGGTCCTGACTTTTCCCAACTTGGTGTTTCTTGGTACGTTTGTATGTGGTGAAGTTACAAGTATATTAGACTTTACTTTCAAAATGGATTTACTTTGAGGAACTATATAACAAATATGTTAACATCATCTGTTGATATGATGGACTCAAGACAAAAAGATTTCCAACTAAATCGTTTATCAAGAATGCTGCCTTTACAACACCATAATATACTTTAGAATAATTTCAGTTTACAAAATTTCATATGTTTACAAAATTAGTACACTTATATCAAAAACGTATCTTAACGCAATTAGTACTACAAAACTACACGTTGAAGGGGACATTTTATTTCATTTTTTGCAGATTGCAGATGCTCACCTTGTTTGTGCAATCGTGAAACGTTTTGATATATTTTTTATAAAAACAGAAAATAGATTTTTAGTAAAAAATAGCACGCACCTATAGACAGTCTTGGGTGTAACAGTAAGTATAGTTATGCCATGTGGTTAAAATTTAAACAGGTTTTTTCCGGTGCAAAAACGGAAATATATATATATTAGAAAACTACTTTAACTTATCTTGAAAACTAATGTAGGTTCTTCATTTTTCTTTTTTACCCAAGGCATAAGTACACTTCCGTGAAGCGACGAAACCCCCAGACTTGCAATTATCTACAAAACACCCAATTCATCAAATAGATTACATGAAATGTGACTAAAGCAAACAAGGTACTCTAGAAATTTTATAGGAAAAAAACACGTTCCGACACAACTTTCATAAAAACCATGTTAAATGACGTTTGAAAAGTGGTTAAAAATTGTCATATACATATATGCCAATGTTTTCGAAGAGGTCCAAAAAGTATCCCTTCGTCATAACTTTTACCGACATCTAAACAAAAAATACCTGTGTGTAATGTTGGATTCTTTGACATCACTATGTTTTACCACTCGCCCGACCTGTGTTTCCCTGAAGATGATAACACAGCGAAAAACCTGTAAATAAACCGGTATGACGAGTGGTAAAACAATGTTGTAGTGACATAAAATACTTGTACAATAGTGAAGCAAAACGTCTCTGTCATAACATAACCAACTATATTTTTGTTGAAAACAAAAGTTATGATTAAAGTGGAGGAATTTGCGACAAACTGTATCGACGTAATCTTACTTTATCCTTTTTACCGATTATAAACCTGACCAATTTCTGCATTTTATTTGTGATGATACGGAAGCAACGTTTTTTACCATGTATAAAAAAATGTAATTCCAAATCAACATTTCATATAAAAATCAACAATCCGACTATCTCTGGAGTACCTTGTACAAAATAATAACGCGAAACTCAACCGATTTGGCGTTTATTTTTCGCACTGGATTACAGGTTTAGGTCGTCAGGCGGCAAATTATTGGCCCCTTCGATTTCTGAAGGGTCTTGCTGATCTATCGCTCCTCCTGCAGCCCCATCTTCGTTCTCCAGTCCTAGAGGAGCATCCGATGGTAAAGGTGGAGGCAGTGCCATTGCTGACACTAACGGATTACCTAATAATTGCAGAGATTCTGATTTGGATTTTTACAAGATGCTTGATGCAAATGGAGGCACGTATTTGAATAAACTCATGTCCTCACTAACTTGAACGTGAAGTTGAACTAATGACTTGTTAGGACAGGTCGGCCATCCGTTACAACTAGATGCTAGTTTAAAAGAGCATTTGACAGTAAATAGTCACAAGAACTTTCGGGGCACTGAACTGCCTCGGGCAAAGCTGACATCCAGGGCTTGCGTTAGAAAGAACACAGTCAGACTTCTCCGTGATTCATCCGCAGATCTTAGTTTTGTTCGTACAGCGGTCGGCGACTTGTGTGAATTTCGTCTACATAGCGTAGCACAGTGAACGGAATTTGTGTGGCGGGATCTTGGACACGGTCACTGACAGGTTGGCGACTGCTGTAGTTCGTCTTCAGAAGACGAAGCATTGTTTTTGAGGAGTTTGCATCCGATCAACTGTGAGAGAGATGATAAAGGAGAGTTCATAGTTCTTTTTCCTGCAATGCTTGAAGATGAAGAACGGTTTTTTATTTACTTCCGAATGTCATTAAGTAGTTTTAATGAGTTGCATGATTATATAAAAAAGGAAACAGAGAAACAAGACACCAACTAGAGAAATGCTATATCTACAAAAGAAAGAGTGGCAGTATTTTTTCCTATGAAAGCCATCTTGCAAACGAGGCGTTCCACGAGTTCTTTGTATTTCTGACAGTAGAACGAGAGCCTTCACACTGACCGGCGCGGTCTGACTGCCGCTGTGTCTGCGCGACGCTATAGAGATCTGATAATTCTGTCAGTGTCACTGGGCTTCTACTCAACCTTATATATCAATAAATAGCACATTTCATGATGAACACTGACGGATTTCAGTAAATGTTGAGTTACGCTAAAAGCGCGGAAAACAAGGATCCTTTCTTCGATGTTCATTTGAGAGCTAAATCCATGGTGCTAGAACGGTCCCTATGGGTACGTCTTTTTTGGTAATGAACATCTAGCTCTTTTCTATCGCTACACCAACGGGCTTTGCTCCTCAGAGCTCTCCTCCATGATGCCGCCGCGCGATGTGCCTGCCAGACAGATCCGCCTGACTTCGGCGTCCCATCCTAACCGTGTCAAACTTCGTACATCCAGAACTGGCCGATACGACCGCTCCTTTGTCCCGAGGGTGTCTAGATTGTGGAACAATCTACGGGAGGAAGCTTTTCCCAGTTCTACTAACCTTAGGCAGTTCAAAAATCGTATTAACAAAATTTCTTTGGGATCATCATAGCAGCCGCGGTGTTCCGGCATTTAGGGTTTTGCCTGCGCGGCTGTTTCGATATAAAAAAAAATAAAAAAATGACGCTGAAGCTCGACATCATGGCCAACGTGTTGAGCACCCCATTCACAATTGTTCCATAATGCCTTTGTTGCAAACATAACCAAAAGCTATTTACTAATTTCAGAGATCTGAATTATTCAGCGCAATATAGAGTCGGAACAAATATTCACTCACTCCATTCCGAACCGGTACAGATGGTCCTATGTGAACAAAGCACCTGTATATGGAATGTCGTGAAGTCAAGCAATTTGAAGCAACCGTGAATGACTTTTACTTTTACAGCGCGATGAACGCTCGGACAACGCGGACGCGATTGTCGTTCGTATAATTTGGATTACTTGGAATGCCGTTTACCTGATAGACCGACGGCGACACTAACATGGCGTTAAAAGCACGATATTTTTCGCGTTCGTGTTGCATGTCGCTAAAGCCCTGTTTTTCAATTGCAGGTTAATTGTAATTTTACTATTACCCAGATGTTAACTCTCAAAATGCGTATTTCACTGTCAACTTTATCCTAAAACGGTGGTTAACTTGAGATGTTTAAGGATGGCACGAGACACAAATGCGCCATAAAACGTATATGACAATATAGTTTAGACGTAGAATCAGCGTTGCTAGATTAAAAATTACGTTTTAGTTAACCAAAACTTGAAAAACGAATTTATCATGTATCAAACGTGTTCCAAATTTTTCCTATGCCTCTCAAGTTCCAGGATCCCCTAAGAACCAAATACCTCACCTCTAGAATCAAGCTCCAAAGCTGGATCTGCGGTGGCCTCTGCTAAATTTGTGACACTTTTTGATTTGACGCATTGGAAGTCCACATGCCTGCTCTTCGCCTCTTCCTTTTCCCACGACATGTGAATGAAGGGTCGCTGTACGTAATTGTAGATTACTTCAGCCCTACCACCAGGACGCTTCTTAACTTTTTCTTTGTACGTCGGGTACCCTTTCGCAAAAATATTTTATAGATAGAATGTTTTCATAAAACAACACATTTTGTCACGTAATATAAACTCACAAGCAATCAGGCAACCAGGACCTGCTTTCGCAAAAGAAGGGTATGTACATATGTACAAATATAGTATTGGGACCTCTTGCACCGATTCTTCTGTCCACTTATCAATTTACATTTTTATACGTGGGTTTGCGTGACTTCAGAACTCCATGTTCTTCTAGCCAAATGAAACCACGTACAAGGGTGAATCAAATATGAACCGGACTTTTCTGTTTAACGCGAATGGAGTGAGGCGACGTCTCGGTTTGGCGCGAAGTAAATGAGCTGTTAGTAGCATCATGTCTGAGCAAGAGGTACTGTTGCGCAAAGCATTATCATAAAATTTTGGTCGCGGGAGCGCGTAAAACCTTCCGAAATTTTGCGTCGATTAACAGCACAGTTCGGCGATAAGACAGTTTCGAAGATACAAGTATACGACTGGCAAAAATGTTTCCTTGGAGTGGCGAAAGCCGAGAGGGGCAGCGCCGCGAAAAGCCAAGACCAGTCTTTCTGCAGGAAAAGTTCTTGCAATGGTATTTTGGGATTCCACAGGTGTACTACTATGTGATTTTCATCACACTTACTACTGTCAACTGTTTAAAGAAGTAAAACTGGCCTAACAGCGCAAAAGGCGAGGCATGCCTATTCGAAGTGCCATTCTGCTCCATGACAACTCTGAGCCACACCGCTGTATTGACAAAAAAATATGCGAAATTCATTGGGAAACACTTGAACACCCGCCTTATAGTCCCTATGACGGGGACAAAGGTGTGGAAACAATTGGCTACTGACACGATCAGCTTCATCCTTTGATTGGGGCATTGAAAAACTTCCGATACGATGTGAAAAATGCATCAATAAGAGAGGAGATTATCTAGAAAAATAAGATAAGATAACTTGTATTTACCATACCAATAAAATTACTGAAACAAAAGACCAGTTCATATTTGATTCACCCTTGTATGTTAGAATTACTTTTCACTGACGTTTCGCTCACCAAGGTAGACTTTTGTAAGTACAGATAGTAGGAAGATTCATTTTGCGCAAATGGCTAAATGAACAAGTGAAAGTAATATATAATAATAATAAATTCATACCATATGGTGCCTCATCATATTTGTCGTTCTATCATAAAGTTTCTCAGTTTTGATTTAAATTTTGTTAGGCGATTTTGACGTTTTATGTCTGAATCTAATTTGTTGGAATCCATTGGACCTCGATGTAAAACTTCGTACATATCCTGCGCTTTTTGCATTTAAATGGAAATCATGCTTGGAGTCAGGTATCATAAAAATGATAGTAGGCATTTACAGATGTTAGTGCAGATAGATGGCAATAAATTATTTTTCATTTTATAAATAAAAATCTAGTCATGATTTTCAATGAAATGTTCAATGTTAAGCCATTCTAAGGTACTGGGCATATCATTTTTTGGCGTATATTTATTTTTATTTAGTATTATTATCATACAACTATTTTTGTATATTTTGCACTATACTAAAAAATTGGCAACACAATTGTATTATAATTTATATATTTCTTACTGTATAGAGTTAAACTCTAATACTGTCAACTACTATGCCAAGGTATTTGAAAAAATCTATAACATCAATGTTTTACCGCTAATATTTACGTATACATTTATACAATGTTTTTCCCAATAATCCTAGCGGTTGTTTTGTCAGTGTTCAATTTTAATTTGTTAGATATTAGCCGTTCTGTCACAAATTTATAGTCACTATTAATAAGAAAAATAACGGATTAAAATTTTTGAGTATTTACATAAATTAAAGTATCAACAAAAATTTGGATTTTCCAATTTTTTTGTATACTGGACAAATGAGTTATATACAAGATGAAAAGAAGTGGTCCCAGGATACTATCCTATAGGACTAAATATTAATAAATAAATAAAATAAAAATATTTTTTATATTGCTATTATCATAATATTTTTCTATTGTCATTTTTATCGATCCTTATTTTGAAAAGGCCACGATGTGACTGAAACGTCAATAATGTGTAATTTCGACATATGTGGTTTCATATGGCAAGAGAAACATGGAGTTCTATCAGCATGAAAACTATAGGATATGTTTCAGATGTTACAATAATAATGTGTTTCTGCCTTTACTGTAGATGGACAGCGACATTTTTGAGTAAAAAATGCAATTCAGATGTCAGGAAGGCATGCTATTAAACATTACTTTCGTCATATATACCTAATACGCACTGCACTGATTAACGTATTCTTTAAAATGTAGTGCAAGCTATGGTTAATATTATCTATTCCAAATTTTACATTTAACAGTTACGGCTACTGTCACCTCAACTGGATTTTTTTACGTAATAAAGATGCTGAATTAAGCAAAGCAAATATAAGAAAGATGCCACAAACTCCATTTCACGAGTATCCATCACGTTTTGACCTCTACTGAGGTGAACAGCTGCAAGCAAGTGACATCTTTGTATTGGTAACATTGCCATGTTGCCAATAATGAATCGGGTGTAAATATGGTAAAACTTGCTTATGGCGATTTTTCTGTATGCAAGTAAACTTTTCTAAATGAAAGTGTCTTCAGCAAGTACAAAATGAATCTGTAGCATACAAAAACTAAACAAAATACGGCTATGTCTACCTGGCGTTGACGGATCAGTGAGAATTACGTGTCATTAGCCGATATGGGGAATTTTGAAATATTAGTAGATAATCAGCTGTTATTTTACCGTAATGGATACTCGTGAAACAGACAATATAGCTCAAGTGATCTGGTTTTCACTAACCTTCAATTCCAAGCCGTATCTTCTTTAAGCCCCGATCCTTCAGCACCTGCTTGGCGACGTCTCTGTTCTCGATGTACTTAAAGAACCTGTACATGGCGGTACTGTTAACTGTCTGACTATATTCCTCGCCCATTTGTGGCGGGTACTCCTCGTCCCAGTCAACCGTATCGTCGTCTAACAGTACTACCACATGACATTCTCTGTCGCCACGCTGAGCAGAGCTCACCATCAGTGGAAGCACGAGGTCTTCCAGAAATACCTCAAATTGACATCGGGCGCCTTCGTTTGACAGCTCGTGGAGGAGACCCCCTATATATTTAAGAATTCGTTGCAAGTGTGGTGAAAGGAATCGACAGTACATATGTTGTTGGACACAAATTTTAATTTGGTCCAGATGTTTCTAATTTCAAGAACTAGAACTTATGTAGATTCTCAAAACATACGTCATCCTATAGCTACTATAATACACGATTTAGTTTAGTATAAAAAACAGAAATATCTGCATGAAATTCATCTTTTTTCGGCCTGACCCAGATTGTACCGAATTTTAATTACAATGAGGAAACTTTAAAAAACCGTTGAAATTTACTTTGTGCAGCCTTAAGAAACGATTGAGGTTTTCCTAATATCTTTTACCTAATAAATTACATATATTGTGTTGACTAAAAAAATGCTACCGCATAACTTCAAAAATGCTACTTTAGGTCCAAATTTTTTGTTCTGTGATTCACACTGCCGTAGCAAGTGTATATTCGTACAGCCCGCAAAAAGTAAACACAGACACAACAATCTATGTACTTTTTAGGTTTAAATGTTTAGTTGTACCATATATATCTATTTATTCTAGAATTTCCTCTCCTTTGAATCGACGCCGCTAGTGCATTTGCGGTCACGTGCGCTATGGAGTTCGAAGTCTTATATGATTTTCAAATTATACAACAAAAATATACCTTATTTCAATGAAGAGATTTTCACCTTCTACATAATAGTGGGTATGTATTTTACATTTTACGTTTGAAATGATTACTACTACTACCTCAAAAAATTAAAATCAATGAATTTGGAACACCATAGAGTATTTTTAATTTTTTTTTAATTTTACGTGCAGTAATACAAATTCGATAAAACACGGGACCACCAATTTCTTTACCATCAAATCGATTATTTTTGTTATAGTTATTTTTGGATGTACTTTCTACGCTATAAATATACCATTTTCCGAATCCCACGGTATAGTATGATCTTAGAATGATGCGGTATCCTTTAAAATGAAGGAAAACCCAAGTGTTGGCAGGAACGAAAAAACACTTCAAACGAGATTTTTAGGAATTTATAAGACCTGCAGAATGAGACACGTAAAAAGATCCGAATAATAGTAAAAAAGTTATGGCCGAAAACCGAGGCAAAATGCAGGTTTTGGTACTTGTTGCTAATGCTTCGATACTTTCACGCAGCTACTTGAAATTCTGCAGATCCGTACGCTTCATACTTCTAAATTACCGCAACAAGATTGGAGCCGATTGGTCAAGTAGTATTTGAGAATTTCAAATTGTTTATCCCAAAACACCTATCTTATGGCCATCACTACTAGTTTACTGAGCAATCTACAGGGTTCGTTCAAAGGGCATTTTATAGCAAAATACACGAGTTTTTTCAAACAAATTCAAACATTTCGTATTTGTGAGTAATTGAACAGATTCGCTATGATATTCGAAAAACATACGTTATTATTCACATTTTAAAACAAAGCGGATGTGGAATGTGGATGTGCGCAAATTTGTGGATTCGAAACCTCCGTACTGTGGTTCTGCAATCGTTATTCCTTCCCATTACACTACGATGCCTCTGGGTTTACTGGATATTTATACCACTATAGTTGACACTTTCAAATGTCAAGCGAACGTTGGAGGCATATCAAATCTGTTATAAACAATTAGAATACTCTTAAAAACCATACTTGATACAATGCTGAAACTTCAAATAATGTGTTAGGGTCTAATACCGAGCATCTTGCTTAATTTTTCAGACGGTCAGTTCGCTACAATTGGTTTATATTTGTCTACGGTTTTTTCTTTTTCTTGAGTTTATTTTCCAACATATTGAACTCGCAGTCGTTTTAATCGTACGAGATTTCGAAAATAGACGTATACTATATTAATACTTGTAGCAAAAAGTTCCAGGGAACTACATTTCTTCGGGAAGAAACTGAATTATGTGACCTACTTGTTTGACAAAGTCATCAATAATGCAGTCATTTAGCCCATGCTACATACTAACTAGTCTAAGACTGTTTGAAACATAATTGTCTTCAGTTTGCGTGCTAACTTTATAAATAGTTCAGGGCATTTCAGCTATAAATATTACACAAGAGTATGAAGAAATCTTGAAACATTTATTTTTCTTAGCAATAAAAGATGATAGACACATCCGCTTTGTTAAAATGTGTATAATAACGTATGTTTTTCGAATAATGTAGCAAATCTGTTCAATTACTCACAAATATGAAATGTTTGAATTTGCTTAGAAGAAAATAACGTAACCCTTCGTTTTTCGCATCTTTTGGAATGGCTTGTCGGCAAGGTAAACTCGTGTAATTGGCTATAAAATGCCCTTGGAACGAACCCTGTATATTTCTCACTAAACCAGTGGTGATGGCTGGATGACATATGTTTTGGGATAAACAATTAGAAATTCTCAAAAACTACTAATCGACTCTAATTTTGTTGTGGTTAGTTAGAAATTTGAAGCCCACGGATTTAAAGAATTTCAAGTAGCTGCGTGAAATAATCGTCGCATTTTGATTCTGTTTTCGACCATAATTTTTTTACTACTAGTGGGATCTTTTTACGTGTGTTCTCATTCTGTAGGTCTCGTAAATACTTGAAAATCTTATTTGAAGAGTTTTTTCGTTCCTGCCGACACTTTCGATTGAATCCCCAAAAACACGTATTCTCATTCTTTGTTGTCGAATCAAAATAAGATAAAAACAAAAGTTTTCCCCACCATCTTATATGGATTTTTTTTTCGTTCCTGTCAACACTTTCGATTAAATCCGAAAAAGCACGTTTTCTCATTATTTGTTGTCAAAAAGTTTTCTCACAAAAATTGGTGTATCCATTTGATGCGTATATGCTTTAAATATCCCGTTGAATAACTTGCATCAATAAAACCAGACTTCACAATTATTTCGCAATCCGGGGTATTTTCGTCTAATATGATTAGACTATCATGCAATGAAAAAACGACATGCATAAATTGTTATCAGGTTTACTTTTTGTTGCAGTTTCCATAATATAACATTGGGAGCGTTCAGCCAATGTAAAGTGGTCCAGCTATGTAGGGCTTTTATGCCGAATAGCAGTAGTCGCGGAATAGCTTCTACAGTTCGCAACATTGATCAATACTATCAAATCTGACAGCCAAGTGACGACCTGTGTCAAACTGACAAAGTTATCCCATGGCTATTCATTTTCAGCATAAAAGCGCTGTACTGCTGGTCCGCTTTACGTTGGCTGAACACTCCCAATACCTAAACTAGCAGAGTTACTTCAAACGTCCTCTCCCATGCAATACAGGTTGGAAATCGAAGAAGGCTTAGGTAACGGACAAAAAAATCAAAATACTTCAGCGCCTCGTTTCAGTTGTTCCGTGTAGACAACTTCGCGTGGCCATATAGTAAAATTGACCATTTCCTGAAATGTATCATTATCTATTGGCCAGATCATGATGTGTGTTGACTAGATCAATGAAAGTAAATCGTTTAACAAGATGATCAACTAAAAGCGCGACTACTTTGTGAGATGGTCAAGTATGTTTGATGAAATCGTAAAATATTCACACTAATCACCGATAACGCTGGCAGCTTTTTGTTTACATTTCAACGCCGTAGTCATTAACCAACTTGTTATCAAATGGGGACGAAAGTAAGATCAAAAGACTTGACGACAAAAAGGTACTCGAGTTCGAGGGATGTCTTTTAAGTTTTGCATATGGAAAAAAAAACAACAGGGTAGGTAGTTTTAAATGACTTTATTGTTTTTCGCCCGTCCGCGTTTGAATTCTCCTTACCAACGGGAAATTGTCGACTGATGTGGCGCTTCGTTGCCGAAAACCGACAGTAACTCAGCAAGGCATTCTTGTTGCGATAATTGTCTCTGAAAGTTGTAATAAATTATGTCGCGAAAATGTTCTCGGTTGAGTTCCATTTTTCTAATGACTTGGTGACACTTAAAAATTCACTGTAGTGAGAACACTGCACGTATTGTTGTGAAACTTTGAATTTAAGTTTACTAAAGAGTGAGGTTAAGATTCAGTACTGACGTTCGATCCGCGCGGCCTACTATGTTTCTATATGCTAAACTTAAAAGACATCCCTCGTACTAGGCAGCTCACGCAAGTATCGAACAAAACATGAAAAAGCCGTAGCGTTAAGAATGCAATTCACAGGTTAGTACTTCTCTCTTCAATTACATTATTATTCATTTATTTGAAGTCAAAATCGTGTATCAGCTAAAATATGATTTGTCTATTGAACTATATATTATTCTACGTACCTATGTAAAACTCATCGTAATTTTCATTTCATTTTTAGGTTATATGTCAAAGAAAACAGAGTAGCGTGACCAGGCGAGGTAATAATTTAATTTGTGATATACGATATGTTGAAAAATTTTATTTGTGACACGGGCAAATTAAGAATGTTTTAATATAATCATTTTATTTTGATTTCTTAAAGTCACTAGTCTTAATCACAATAGATGTCGAACCTGAACAATAAACAAGTTTGTAACATAAATTCTGGATTTTTGTTAAATATTCTATCGACACCCTACGTCAGGATATGATCAATCGTAGATGACCAATGTTGACGATTTAACGATGTGGTCAAATTTAGTTGACCATTTCATGAAATACTCGATCGTTTCATGGAATGGTCACTTCTATGAAATGGCTAGGACATCAATATGTCTATTCAATTTCCGTCTTTCCTAAGAATACCTTCCCTTATTTCCCTTCTGCTAATACCGAACAACAGTGCAAAATGGTGGAGAACGGACTAAGTCACCCATCTCTTGACTCTGTGTTCTAGACTACACAGTTTTCATGGTACCTACTTAAATTCTGACATCTGACAGTACTGGCGTCAAACGGCACCAACAGATAATCGCATGCCTCTCTCAACTCTTGCACAGACACACTAGGCGGGCATTTAATCATTCCCCCTTTATAGTATTCCAAAATGGCTCTAAAAACGGACGCGGATATGCCTTCAGCCACCTCGTACTCTCCCCTATCGTTGGGATGCGTAAATTCTATCGAGGTGCTAAACATTCTGCCTAGCATCGTATTGGGGTGCGCCGTGAATATAGCCGGGTCTACGACAAACCTCGTGTTATCCACCACTACCGTCACCCTGTCATCTGTCATATTGGCTAACGCGGTGGTCGGTTGCGGTGACTTTTGGCTGGGTTGACAACCGGAGGTTCGAGATCTGGAAAATAAGAGAGTTTAGTTTAGATGCTAGACGAGGGAGGGATGGTTCCTTGCCTATTGCGAGGAGCATTTGGACATTGCTTAGGAGTAGCTAGAGTATGGCAGCGTGTTTCTGTTAGAGATGATGAACGTTGTACAAGGCACGGTTTTGGCTTCGACATTGACCCATAACTAGGCAAAGCAATAACAGTGTAATTAGATATGTAGTTCATTGTGGTGCTGTATATTTCTTAAATTACATTAATATACCTGAAAAGTGACTGGTGATAAGGTAGATTTGGTGGAAGAAATTTAAGTTTGAAATGTACACTATTGGGAAAGACAAGAGCCACGCCATCTGTCAGCGGAAAACGGCCACTTAAGGTATTTTTTAACGTATTCCATCTCGCAAATGGCTTAATTTAATGTAGTTTGTCCACTGTAGCCACAGCAATTGGACTGCAGGCGTGATGGCTATTTGCATTCTTATTTTCGGTGTAGCATTCGGATTTTTGTCCATGATTTGCACAGTTGATGGAATAGCAATGAATCCACGCCGTCAGTGCCGTGAACGAAACGCGTCCATTAATCGCCCTTTCCAGAAACCCTACTGGATCTCTGATGATGCGATATATGGTATGCCATTCATCCGACGAGGATCAGTGGGCGTAGACGCACCTGTATTTGAAAATAAGGAAACGATTCGAAAATCCTTTCATGCAATAAAATGATTAATGGTTCTCTTCTCAAAGATAGGATGATCCAATTCTTCGAGAAATGAGTACAAAACAGATGGTCATGTAGAAAGGTTTCAAAAATGACCAAAAGCAGACTTTGCTTTCCCAATATTACATCAATGAGCAGGCAAAAATTATGCAGCAAAACTGGGAATTGCAACTTCTTGGCCAATATTATCATTTTCTATGGAAATATGAAAAATCTACACATCTCCAAATAATAGGTGTAGTTAGATAAGGCATAGAGGTATTTTTTTTTCTAAAATCTACAAATGTAAAAGTGCCATTGCTCACATTGTGAGAATTTTATATGAGAATAGTGTCGCATATTTCATTTTGTCCACAGTTTCACAATTAAAGACTTTAAAAGATGAATGACTATTGTATTTTAGCCAAAAAGTAACAATTCTAGATCACTGTGAGGTCACCAAGTGCGGTCCTCAATGTGTGATTAGTGAACCTCATAATTTTAAAAATCTAATTTATTTTCACTGTTATGAGTTTATAAGCCAAACAGTCATAAACCACCTGAAACATAAAAATAAATAATGAAAAGTTAACGAAAAAGTGAATTATAACTGAGAAGTGAACATAAATTGCATATGGGCTGTAGAAAACAACCATAAAACAGATAGAGCTTGATGAGTTCACTCGACAATTATAATCCATATGAAAATATGCTAAAATATGTGTTAAGATATGTTTAATAGAGAAGAACAGGGTAATTCAAGACAGCACTAACATGAACAAACAATAAAATGAAATTTATACACTTTGTATAACCTTTATCTCATCACATATTTAATTAAACAAAAATTAAGAACTACATCTTAAATAAAAAATAAAGTATTGAAAAATATCTGCAACACAAAAAAATATTTTAAGTGAAACTATCAAAACGTGATGGCAAGAGAAGTGAGTTATTAAAAGAGTAACAGACCTAAAATTTTGGGAGTAATAAATAATTCAACAAACAAAGCTGGGTGAATATACAGAATTTGGGATTTCAATGTTTCACCAAAAAAATCTTACGCAAATTAACAAATTGTGGAAATTAAGCATCCAAATACTGTAAAATTTCATCCATTATTTGGAATATATGATGAAATTGAGGTAACCATTAAGATTTAGACACAATATGCTTAACAAAATGTATGCTTCCCTAGCATGCTAAATTCCTGACATCAATACATCTCTGTTCATATTTAACTGATATAAGAATATATGAATACTCTTTGTATTGCTAAATACGTATTATAACAAATTTTTAGGAAAAGAGATAATGAATAGTTATATAAACACATAACAACTACGTTTTTAGTGGTTCCTGAAAATTGTGTCACACTCACCTGGCGCAAATTGCATATTATCTTGTAAAGGGAACTATTTCAGAATATGACCTTAATCAATAAGTAGAAAATCAAGAAATGTCAGTTTGAAAACACAGGCATTACCCTGAGAGCCAGTAAGCTCTCAAGCTATATGATTCTCTTATTTCAAGAAAGTTGGAACTGAAGAACTAATGAATTTATTTAGTTGAAGGTATTTGTATTCTGTTTGAAGTATATCTTTCATAGTTTAAATGTCACCCTCCTGGTCACACATTGTTTCCTGGTACTTATAAAATCTATCAAAACCAAGATATTATCTGACGCTGTCAAGTAAGCATCACATACCATATAGACTTGTGATAATGAACATGAAAACAGGATATTTTTCTTAGTTGGAACTGAAAAAGAAAATACTGCATATTCACCCATATAAAGAGTTAAATTATTATGAAACACTTAACACTCAAGTTAAATTAACAAACTGAAAAGACACTTTTGGACCCAAAGCTGGCAGGGACCATTTTGATTTCAAAATATAAATACACGCTGATTGTGAAGAATTGTTCAATGAATAAAATATGAATTAAATGACAAAATAATTATGCAATAAGGAGAATTTCAAGATAAGTATTAAATGAGGTCTTAATTTTGTTATTTAATCAATGATTTAAGTCAATTCTCTGATGAGTCAAAAATGGTATGCTCAATAAAGAAATAACTATTTTTATAGAAAAAAATAACAAAGGTTATCAAAGTTTTTCAACAATTCAGATATATATTACTCAGTACCTGTAAGTAAGGAAAGAAATGAGAGTGATTTGGAAAAAATTGTATTTTATCCATGAACATTTCTGGAACTGTAGTTTTCAAATATTATGACTCACCTTAAATTAACAATAACATTGATGAGGTTTAAAAATAAAGCATCACTTATCTGACCAAGCCAAGTTTATGTATGTACATTGGTTCAAAAATAGTACACACTCAAGGAAGAATATTTTGAGAATAATAAAGCAAAAACCGATTCTTGAACAGCATGAAATGTATTGTCAAGGAAAATATATATCAATGTAGTCTTGATCCACCAAATATACCAAAAGGACTATTGGGGAGATACCCAAATGATCTTTAAACATATGTATAGTCAAATGAAGCGTCTTCAAAGCAACAGTTTTTAGGATGAATATCATTTCCTGATAATCCTGAGCCCAAACTTTAGATCATTGTCAGCTCCTCCCATTGTCCTATTTATATAAAGCTATTGTTGAGTGTGAGAAATAAGGTGTACCTCATGCGATTTTTGAATACCCTTCTCCTTCTATCATCCGTGTAATCTTCTGTATCGCTGCTAGTGTCGTTGTGATATAAGTGACGGTCACTCGCACCAGCCATTTGTACGCTGGGCAACAAACACTTTAGGAACATATAAACATAATCAAAACAATGATAAATCTCTCTGGAATTGATCCAGAACATAGAACGGAATCATGACATGAACGTGGTGAAGTATTGATTTGATGACGTTTTTTGGGTAGGTGAAAGGTTGTTTTTTCTAGTTTGAAGGCTGTCCACTGTCAGCTGCTTTCTGACAAATGTCAACTGTCAAAATGGAAGAAGTTATCGACCACCTTCCTCAAGGAATATACGAGTGGGTGGGGTGGGTTACAGATTGTGGAATATAATTTGTAGGCCAGGGATTTTATTACAGAAATACGTTTATTCAAAATTGTAGCCACTCTTGAAATATTTTACGTAGCTGCTGTTTTATTGCTGTTTTTTAACTTCCAAATGCATTTTCGAATGACATTAATATTTACTTACATCACAATATCTGCTTCGCCCATACAGTCTGGTACCGAAATGGAAGAAAGTAGTAAAACACATCGTGCACCACTGTTAAGGCTGTCTTTGAATACGCCGCGATCCGCGTGCACACACTTTACCGATAAAAAACTACCGTTTTGGTACTCGAGTATACTATAGTCCCATCCACAGCTTTGCGGATGATAGGACTTTCCTTCCAGGCATTCAGAGCGCCAGATATATCCCTGCGGTTGAGGCGGGGACAAGTAGAACGATAGCGACTTCTCTTCTGGCAAAGAGCCTGATGCCTGATGGTTTTATCACTGTCTCGAGATGCAATAATTACCTTGCAATTTGAATTTTTGTTAAGCCACACAATAGTAACAAGAGGTGCTCAAGTGCACATAATATTTTGACAGATGGCCGAGCTTTGAGGAAGTTATTTGTTTCGGCTTGATGGATTTCAGATCCATGACAAATTTTTAGTACGTACAAGCAATCTCGTCAATCGCCTCAGCTGCTGCGAGGAAGTTCAGATTTATTTTTAGAAACAAAGGATACCTTATTTTGCATGAACGAATGGAAAGGCATAGTGTAATATAACTTTCCTTCGTTCGAACACCGACGGCTAACCATGGACAGAGTGAATAGACTAGAGCTGTTAAGCTTTCGTTCGTTGCCCACCGAGACCTAGCCTGTACCATACTGATGAGCTGTCAAATAGCACGAAACAGCGGTCCCTGGTTGGCCGTCTGTGGTCGAACGAATGGAAGCCATATGTATTACTAGTTTTTCCGATGGCGAGTAGTACCGTTATCTACTATATCATCAGAATCGGCGACATCTAGCGGCCACAGTGGTGACCCGGCTGATAACGCGAACTGGGATGCAGTTCCAACGGTCAGCTTGATTTCTTCACTTTCGCATAGATCAGTTCTGGTAACAGATGATACTTTGTGCTGTAATATTTCATGGAAATGACAACGCAGAAATATGCATTATGTATAATTGTCAGCTAGAATTGACAGTAAAAACTGCGATTCGCAATAATTATCAGCTGCAGGTCGCTATTAGCTGTAATCATCAGTAGCAATTAGCTATAATTGTCAATTTAAGATTGCAAATAGCTATAATTGTCAGTAACAAGGTGCAATTAGTCATAATTGCCAGTTACAAGTTTCAATTAGCTTAATTGCTGGCTATTAGTGACAATTACCTATAATTGCTAGTTAAAATTGCAGTTACTTATAATCGCCAGCTAAAGGTTGCAACTGACTTTAACTGTGAGTTACAAGTTACAAGTAGTTAGCTGTAAATGTCAGTTACAAGTTTTTCAAACCAATCTAGCTGTGACAGACCCAAAAATACGCGAATAATTCAAGTTGTTGGAAATATGTACCAACAATAAATCGACGCGGACTTGATATGCGATCTTTTCAAGGTGCGAACGCAATACAGAATGTCCTCCACTCAGGACTTATACCTCTCACCCTAGTAACTTTCCAGCCACTTGATGAAATAGATTAATAGATACAAGGCAGATATAACATTTTATTATAGGCGGAGGTCTCGATAACACACCTAAGAGTTTTTTGCCCAGTTTTATTTGTTATTAATCTCTTCTGGTAGACATTTCACGTATCCTAGAAGCAACGATATAAAAGTTAGGCACAGGGTAATGTCGCAGCGCAATGGCAGTCGGTCTTTCTGGACACTGGCCAAGCAGATTCAAAAGAACTTCTCACACAACAGCCTTCCACCACTTACGTGTCAGGATGGAACTATTGTATTCGACTCAAAGGCCAACGCGGAAGTGTTAGCGAAGATCTTTGCTGCCAACTCCACCATGGCCGTTCCACCCCAATGCTCAAGTGCCGTTAATTCAAAGGGTTCCCTACACTATGCGGGAGGTAACATTCAGGCATAAGACCGAAAGACGAGTGCTCGTGTACTGATGAGGTATGCAGCAGAGCTTGCTCCAGTTATTTCGCGTCTCTTCCAGATATCTTATGAACTGGTACTTTCCCTGAAAACTGGAAATTTGCTCATGTCCAACCCATCCCAAAAAAAGGATCTAACACCGACCCTTACAACTACAGGCCTATAGCTCTGCTGTCTGTTATAGAGAGGTGCATAAATCGCGACCTTCTGGACTACCTCGTACGTCACAGCCTGATTAGCGACAGGCAGTATGGTTTCCGTTATTAACGATCCACAGGGGACCTCTTAGCTTACATACGCATTTGTGGAGTAAACTCATCCAGTCTCATGGTGAGGCTCATGTCGTTGCTCTTGACATAACGAAAGCGTTCGATCAGCGGTGGCACGCTGCCCTCTTAAGCAAACTTCTATCCTATGGCCTCCCAGAAAAGCTTTGCAGATGGGTGGCTGATTTTATCTCTGGCCGCAAGATATCCGTCGCTAATTGACGGGTTCTCCTCTTCATCCCACAACGTCAACGGGTGTTCCCCAGGGATCGGTCTTGGCTCCAACACTGTTGATCTTACATATCAACGACATCTATAATTATGAACGACCTTCACGATCAACCCAATCCACAGATTCGCGGATGACAGAATTCTACATGCAGGAATTCAGAGTGACAAGCCGATCTCTGGAAAAAAGAAGACTAGCGACGACTTCCTCTCTGACAAGAGACCTGGAGGCTATCACTGCTTGGGGACGCAACAATCTTGTAAAGTTCAATGTTTCCAAAACACAGTACTGTACTTTGCCGAACAAAAAGCTTCTTAGTGCTCATTCAGTTTCGATGGATGGCCGAGTTCTGCCAAAGAGCCATTCATTTCGGCTGGTCGAAGTCCAGATCACCGAGGACCTGATCTGGCACGAACACATCTCTTCAATAGCTGCAGCTGCTGGGAAAAGCTAGGGTATTTGTTTAGGGCTAAGAAGTACTTTTCTCCGCATGACCTTCTCACTGTATACAAGGCCCAGATAAGGCCTAGCCTCGAGTATTGCTTACACGTTTGGGGTGCTGCCGCACCGACTACATTATCCATGCTCGATGCTGTCCAGAGGAGGGCGGTCCGACTGATCGATGACTCTTCTCTAACAGACAGTCTCAGGACTCTTTCGCACCGGCGGGCCGTCGGCGATCTAGCTCTTTTCTATCGCTACACTAACGGGCTTTGCTCCTCAAAGCTCTCTTCCATGATGCCGCCGCGCGATGTGCCTGCCAGACAGACCCGCCTGACTTTGGCGTCCCATCCTAACCGTATCGAACTTTGTACATCCAGATCTGGCCGATAGGACCGCTCCGTTGCCCCGGGAGTATCGAGATTGTGGAACAATCTAAAAGAGGAATCTTTTCCCAGTTCCACTAACCTTAGGCAGTTCAAAAATCGTATTAACAAAATTTCTTTGGGATCACCATAGCAGACGCGGTGTTCCGGCATTTAAGCTTCTGCCTGCGCGGCTGCTTCGATATAAAAAAAGGAGCAATCGTCCGAGCCAGTTTTTGATCGAGTAGGACTGAGGAGAATATGGGTTTTAGAGTTTCAATTGCTGCCCCCATCCTCCCCGCAAGCTACAGATATTTCCTGCGAAACGTATTTCTCCGCTCTTCTCTCACTTCAGCGGTTACTACGCGAGTAACATTTTTATAATTTATATTTTACATATAGATTTATCTTGCCATGAGCAACAAGTGACAAAATGGTCAGGTTTTTCTGTTAAGTTTTTGTGCTGGCTGCGTGTATTGTTCGGTGATAAAGAAGCATTCAATTTTCGTACATTTACGGTGTCAGTTAAATGTTAAATTTCGTGTAGCTTATTGAGAAGCCTTTTTGTGATTGCCCAAAATGCCTAGAGTGCCTTTGAGAGTGAAGCCGATTTATCGATAAGAGAAGTTTCTAGGAGGACCAACAGATTCTTACGCAGTATATGCAGTGTGAACGAGCGTGGACTCAGGAACGCCGAGGACAGCGAGCGAGGGGTTCTGGACGTCCCAGAGGGATCACAGAGCGACAAGACCGCCGGTTAAGATTTCTGGCTCTGAGAGACAGATTCAGTAGTACGAGCCCCTTCCCACTTCAGTTGGCCCACTTCAAGATTTGTACCAAAATATGCCTTTATAAACTAAACATGACGAAACTATGTACTTCTCAAACAATTTATTTTCTCAAAAACATTTTAGATACACTCTAGTCGTAAAAAATACATATTTGAAATCACTTAGACCTATAACTAATAGAACATCTGAACAAATAAACAATGTGCGAATAAATGCGCGAAGTTTCAAAGCAACAATTGAAAGATTACCATTGGGTAACATCACCTTTATTTTTTATCACGGCTGAAATTCTTTGGGGCATAGTGTTAATTAAGTTTTGGTAAAAATTTAGTGTAAAACAATCCCATATTTCTTGAAGCTTTTGTCTCAGTTCGGTGATTGTACGAGCAGGATGTTGTCGTAGAACCTTTTTCATCTCGTGCCACAAAGTTTCAATAGGTGACAGATCTGGACTGCTAGAAACCCATTTCAAAGTGGTACATTATTTTCTTCCATCCATTTTATAGCCTTTTTTGAGGTATGGCACGCTGCACCATCTTGCTGAAACACAAAATCTTGGCCGGATGTCAAACATTCTTCCATCACTGGTAAAAGCGATTCTTCTAAAATTGCCAAATATTTGTTTGCATCCACATTTCCATCAATAAAATGAAGTTTTCCTACTCCTTTTGATGACATACTGCCCCAGATCATAATGGATGCTGGAAATTTCACTTTTCTCTTTAGACAGTCAACATGGAATGCTTCATTTTTTTGCG